TCAATGTCAGGGCAGAAAACAACACATATTTAGCAGAAAAACACACAGAAGCCTCAAATACGAAAGATCCTGTTTTCAGTATTTACTGTGTCCACTTCATTTACCTTTATTACAGCTTCCTTTCTTTTCAGGAGACTCTCTTTCAGTTTTGCAAAGAACCTGCACAGATATTACCCCACACCTCCAAAGTTCGTCCTTCATAGTTGGTTGCATTTTCTGCTTCTCGTGATCCAAGTACTCCCAAACACATTCAGTGATGTTGAGGATTGGGCCCTGGGGTGGTCAGTGTGAGGCAGCTTCTTTGTTTGATAAGTATGTCTTGAATTTTTCAGCAGTGTGCTTGGGGTCATTATCTTGCTGTAGAATAAAAAAAAAACAAAAGAACTCCAGATGTTCCAACATGCTTGACTGATGGTTGTAGACATGGTTCGAAGAGTCCTTCGTTGCTCTGGTGTCTTGTGTTACTTTCAAGAATCTCACATTCAGAATTAGAGATACCATTGTAGCAGTAATGTTGTAAGACAGGGGTGTCAGACACAACCACTAAAAGGGCCATTGTAAAAAATCTCAACAAATCCGTGGGCCAGCTGTTTTTCTTTTACTTAACACTTTGCCATGACCTGAATGGGCCATTGTTTATTCAAAATATGTCAAAACTGCAACAGCAAAATATCACTGAATACTTGAACTGTTTAAAAAAATAGGAAATAAAAATAAATTGTTTTATACAAAACAATAGGATACATTAGCTACAGATAATTGTTAAATGTCTTAAAATGTCCCCTGGAGGTAGTTTTCTTTTTAAAACTGCCTATTTGCTTCAACTGGACACCAGGCATGTTTTCTTTTTGTGTGACTGCTGGCTCATAGATTGTTGTTGGAGAAAGAGGATTAGACTGCACATTCTCTTGCAGTGCATGCTGGGGACTGTAGTGCAGCTCAGGGTGAAACAGACTGATAATAATAGAAAATTAAAATAATTTCACAGGCTGAAAAGGGCTGTGCCACAAGCCTGACTTGGCCCACGGACCTTGTGTTTGACACAGAGATGCAGAATGTGACTTGCCATTGTCACGCTGAAATTAGCATGGATGTCGCTGAAAAAGACACTGTCTAGAAGAATCCATTATATATATGGGTCATTCAACAGAAACGTCCACTTTTCTATGTCTCCGTAGGAGTCACTGGTGTTACTGATCATCACTGGTGTTAAACATTAGAAAGGGAACACCAGAGACATTTTTAATGAACAATGCATTTTACAAAACGGCTGCTACAGAGCATCAAACCACATGTTGTCAATCATGGAATATCCACTAAAATATGTAATTTAGTCCATTTGTATTCTATTTTTTTACAACTACCTCAGAATAAAGTCGGTCACACCAGTGACTTCAGCTAAAAGCTTCATATGAAATCATGAGCTAAATGAGAAAATCTCTGATAACTGAAAGACTCAGTGGACTCACCATGTGCTTTTCTTCATAGATCCTCAGAAAACAGGTAAAAGGAAGTCGAGTGATGTCATCAGTGTGATTTTTATTTCAAAATAAGAGATTTTTTGTTACATGGTAACACCAGTGACACGACTCCCGGGGACCACAACTTTCATTATATATTTAATAATACTTATTTCGCATGTGTTTTCTTTATGTCATTTAAATCATATGTTTCATAGTCATGTATAGATTAATGCAGTTAAAATTATGGTCCTGAGTTTGGAATTCTAGATAACTGACTTAAAAACCAATATTGCTAAATTGAGGCTCACGAAGGTGTAACTGTTAAAATAACATAATATTATTATAATATTATAATATTTTAAAATATAAATAAATTGTAACCCTAACATGTTTTTTAAGTGTAATATATCTGTAAACGCTAGGGACACAAAAATGGACATTTCTGTAGAATGACCCATATATATATATATATATATATATATATATGTTACCAATGCCGTAGCCACTAATATAACCCAGCCAGAGTCCGATCCTGAAAGTCAGCTCAGTGTTTTTTTGACACAGCCGCAAACCTAAACAAACTCTTTCCAGCCTCCAGTAGCTGCTGGGCGTTGTGTGAGGATGTGCTGAGTTGACGTCATTTTGTAACAGAAAAAAGGGCTGGAATCCCAAAGAGGCATTTCAAGTAGCTGAGAAAAGTGGTTTATGTGGGAGAGAGTTGCTCCCTCTGGCGTGAACTTTGGGCTTTATAACTTTGCAGACTGTTCACATTGAAAGCATAATGAGTCCTCTTTAACTTGCATTTGTAGATTCAGTGACGAACAGTGTTAATTCACAGTTTGTCAATGTATTCTCACACCCGTGTGGTGATATCGATTACAGAAGCAGTTTTTAATGCAGTGCCATCAGAGGGTTTGAAGATCACGGACATCCAGTTGAGGTTTTCAGCCTTGCCCTTTATACACAGAGATTTATCCAGGGATGGGGGAGTAGCTTAGTAGCGCAAAACTTTTTGTAGTTAACTACAAATTTTTGTAGCTAAAAGCTGTAGCTGCCACAGTTTTATGAGATGTAGCTAATAGCTGTAGCTATAGCAAAAACTTTCGCTACAATTTCGCTACAGGCTTCAGGTGATCTGTGCAAAATTTGAACCACAGACCACGGTCGTTAACTGGGCTGGTTAGTTTGAGCAAACGGGCACGCGCTGATCACCCCTTACTAGTAGGCTTAACTCAGGGGTCGCAGCCGAAATGTTAAGAAGAGCCATTTTGTCCTTTCAACTAAAATGAAACCACCTTGGGAGCCACAACATTTTACGTCCATTTTACCATCTTGTCTGTAAGTATATCTCAGTATGTGCTGATAGTACAGGCTAAAAATATAACAAACACAAACTCAGACTTACTTTGCTCTGCTTTAACCTTTAGCTCAGCTGTAGCCGCTTTTCTCGCATCTCAGGAAACTTCTCCGCAAGTTTCTTGTTCGACTCTCAATGTTCGACTTTTTACGAGGCTGAAGTCGCTTCTCATTCTCCTGCTTCTCGTTTTGAATTGTCCTGTTCCACCTTAAATGGTGCCTGAGGCGCCAGATTGTACTGCTGCGCCATTTAAGGTGGAACTGGAAAATTCGAACGAGAAGCTGATTTTAGCTTTGCGAATTGCTGCAGATTAAACCGCAGAGGAAACCAGCTGAGTGCTTATAAATGCAAATAAGTACATTAATTTCCAAATGATCGATGTTCATCTTAAATCTTTCTCTTTGCCGTTTCGTTTTCTGCGTTGTGCTGTGTGTCCAGCAGTCTGCGCATCAGTCTTCAGCGTTAAAGGGTGAATTAGCAGTTCTACAGTAACTCCAGTGTTTAAGACCATTTATTGTGAAAACTGTGTTAGAACTGTGTGTTATAATGATTTTACAGCAAAGGAGGATCATGTTATTTTACCTAAAAATCTTAGGCTGAAGTGTTGCTGATGTTCAACAAATAACTCTGAATGTAATTTCTGTACAAATGTTTAAATTGGAGCAGTTTTATTTCAGCAGTTGACAATGCTTTGTACAAAGTTGTTTGGTTTGTATTCGGTTATTTTTGTTGATTTTTGTTAGGAAAAACCTGGAATGATTGACTTTGCCTTTACTTAGTCTCATTTTTTGTTGCGTATCAGGCCTTTGGTTGAGTAAGTTTGCTTGTTGGTCACACTTAAACTCACTTTTTGGTGATCTTTTTGTAAATTTGCAGCTTTTCAATTGTATGTTTCTTTCTGGCACATGATTAAATGCAGTGTCTTGTTCACACTGTCAGTTGGGCTTGTTTGGTGTGTCAGATGGAGATTCACAAACATTCTGACAGTCGCGCTTTGAAAGTGGCTAAAAAGTAATGCACTACTCTTTCAAAAAGTAGGTAAAAAGTCGCCACTACTTTTTCTGGAAAAGTAGCTAAATTGTAGGTGCTGCACATTTTGGGAAAGTAGCTTCAAAGTAGCTAACTACTAATTTTTCAGTAGCTATCCCAACCCTGGAGTTATGCAGATGATATTATGCACCGTGGAGGGTGAAAATCTTTGCAATCGCTTGTTGAGGAATGCTGTTAAACTGTTGGATTAATTGATGACTGTTGCCAATTTTTGGGGGGGATTTCCACTCCCCATACACTACTTAGGACTCCCCCAGTCACACAATATCACTACCGCTAGGAGGGTGAAGGCTTCTGCCGAGATCTGTGAAGCCAGCCGCCGCACCGCTCACACAACGTCATTGGACAACCAAACACACTCTGAGGAAAGCGCCAACCACCAGATCTGTTATGTCCGATCTGCTTACTAGCGTCGCACTGGGGGCATCCTACCCACCCAGACAGTGAGACCAATTGTGCTCTCTTGGACTCCTAGCCACAGATAGCTGTAGCATCACAAGGGATGAAACTTGCGATCTCCTGCTAAGAGGGCCAACGCTTAGACGGTTGTGCCACTTCGGAACCGACCGTTACCACTTTATAACATGACATGCACCACAAGTCTTTTCCTGAGAAAAAAACATAACTTTGTCTCTTTTTTTCAGCTGGCTGAGAGTAAAGATTTGGATTATAGGTACAGAATTACTCTAGTGGCACAACATCGTGTAATTAAAGCTGTTGAATAAAACATGAAAATGAAATTCCAAATATACCAGGTGCAGCTAGGTCAAGGGCCCCAGCTCACATTAGTTCATTGGATCATTACTCAACAATAAATGGTTACTGATACAAATTATTCTCTGTATAAACTTGCACACTTACACAGAAACTACTGGATTTCATCCATCGATGAAGATAGCATGGAGCTTCTTTTATACACACATAGAAAACCCAGTACCTCACAGAAAGCTCACAAGCTGACCCATTTTACTTTGACCAACATGGACATGCAGGCTCAACAACTAATCTGGGGCAGATTTTTATAAATTAATAATGCCATCGCCAAAGTCTCAATGTATTGCTGACTAAACCTTTGGTTTGAAAGATGTAACACTGAACTCTGCCTTCATCTTTGTCTCCTCTGGTTAGAGATGGCTGGGATCAGACTGGTGGATGGTGACAATAAATGCAATGGTACACCAGAGATCCTTTATGAGGAACGATGGAAAAGTGCAAGCAGCAAGACCTTTGACATCAGAGCTGCTATGGTGGTGTGTAGAGAGCTGGACTGTGGGAATGCTGTCAAAGTTGCTGCTACAAGTCTGACCAGAAGAAGAACAAGAACAGAAACTGGAGTTATGGTTGACTGTACTGGACAAGAGTCATCTGTTTCACAGTGCATAAAAGAAAGTGTTAACATTGATTTCGATCTTCTCAACATCAAAATAGTCGTCGTTTGCTCAGGTGAGAACTTCTGTCAAAGAAATTGAGTCAATTAAGGACAATCATTTTTAATATTTACTTTTCACTCCATATTGACTTATGTGCTCTCAGACTCTGTGAGGCTTGTGGACGGAGCTGGACTCTGCTCTGGGAGAGTGGAGGTGAAGACCCATCAGTCCTGGACCACAGTATGTGAGGCTGGCTTTGACTGGCAGGATGCAGAGGTTGTCTGTAGAGAGCTGGACTGTGGACGTCCACTAACTCTACAGGGGGCACTGTATGGAGAAGGCAAACACCCATTTGGGACCAAAGAGTTCCAGTGTAAAGGCACAGAGAACCGTCTCCTTACCTGTAGCACCTCAGACAGAGAAGAGAGCACCTGTACACATGGCAGAGCTGTTGGACTCACCTGTTCAGGTGGGAAACTTGCTTGTATTTAAATTCTGCTCTTGTTTCAGTATTAAGGTTTGGATGGAAACAAAAGGGTTCAATTCTTGAAGTGTCCAGCAGAAAATTGGTCAATCAGCTATTGTTTTGCTTGTATGCAGTGAGTGTCTTTGTCTCCACTCTGTCCAGGACCAGATGATGTGAGACTGGTGGATGGGAGCGGCCGCTGTGCTGGGACAGTGGAGATGTTTCATAGTGGAAGGTGGAGGAGTGTGAGAACAGAAATGTGGTCCCTGAGAGATGCTGCTGTGGTGTGCAGGCAGCTGGACTGTGGCTCTGCTGTTGCAGCTGCGCAGACGGAGGTTTTAACCAGTGATACTGAATGGAGTGTTCTGACTGCCTGTGAGGGATCTGAACCTGCACTAAGGGAATGCTCTATTTTCATTTTTGCCCCAGCTAAGATTGTTGCCACGGTGACCTGTTCAGGTATTTCAGCAAAACAATGATGAAATTTTTGTTGTCCATGTGTTGACTATGTCATCAGGAGATGACCCCGGGAAGTGCATCAGTTGGTGACAAACTGGCCTCGCTCTCTCTGAGTGGGTAGAATGACCCTTCCTCTTCATTCCTAACACTCAGAGTGATGCAAGTCAATTTGGGCATCTGTTCACTGATGTAACAGAATTGTCCATTAGTGTTCTCCTCCAAGCATATTGATTTATGTGTTAGCAATAGTTTAAAAAGATGTGGTGGAGTTTCACATATCTCAGAGGAAGCACATGCTAGCCTTCACCCAGCTTTGTAGCATCTTGTGATAGAGGGTGACTTAGCTAGAGAGATGAAATGGAATGGTTACATTTGGAAAAGTTAAGTGATCGTTACTCCCTAAATTCTCTTTTGTGCTTAATCTTTGACCTGCATGTTCTCAGATGCTGTAAGGCTTGTGGATGGAGCTGGACTCTGCTCTGGGAGAGTGGAGGTGAAGTCCCATCAGTCCTGGACCACAGTATGTGAGGCTGGCTTTGAGTGGCAGGATGCAGAGGTAGTCTGTAGGGAACTGGGCTGTGGGACTCCGCTAACTCTACAGGGGGCACTCTTTGGAGAAGGTAAACTCCCATTTGGGACCAAAGAGTTCCAGTGTAAAGGCACAGAGAACCGTCTCCTCACCTGTAGAACCTCAGACAGAGAAGAGAGCACCTGCACACATGGCAAAGCTGCGGGACTCACTTGTTCAGGTAAGAATCTCAGACTGTACTGAATGAGAAAATATGATCAAACCAGATTCATTTGAGGATTTTATAAAGTCTTCCTCTGTGAATAGTAGCTAATGCAATAAGTGACATTGTCTCCTGTCTGTACAGAACCTCATGAAGTGAGACTGGTACGTGGGAGCAGTCGCTGTGATGGGGCAGTGGAGGTGTTTCTTAGCGGACAGTGGAGAAACGTATCAGGATTTAGATGGACAAGGACACAAGCTGCTGTGGTGTGCAGACAGCTGGACTGTGGCTCTGTAGCTACAATAGGACTGCAACATACAGACAAGACTGTGCAGGTTGCTTGGATTAACTGTAAGCGATCTGAATCTTTACTGAGGGAATGCACAGTTCTGGGTGTTTCATCTATTGGATATAATGCTGAAGTGACGTGTTCAGGTAAATTTGCACAATGTAGCACGGCTTAGGGGAAAATATGGTTGCAGCTTGAAGGGGAACAAATTTTCAACATTTCTGCATAATTCAAGCAAATAAACAAATAGATCTTTAAAAATAAGTAACTTATTTGAAGTAAATATGTCCTTTGGAGTGGTTCAATGTGAAAAAAATTCTTCAGTCAGAATTGTTCACAGTGGTGGTGATAGAAACCAGATATCTATTAGGAGATATAAGCATTTAATGCCTCACAGAATGTTAAAAAATGGTTATGAATACGCTGCCTGATGCCTGAAGTTTTGTTTTATGTTTGTTTTTGGGCTAAAATATATTTTACTGTATGCAGTGTGGCGAGGTACATGCACAGTGTTATATGGCAAAATAGTCCTCAATGAATCAATGATTATGTTTCTCTACAGTGAACCATTTCATGTCAAACCATTCTGAATGACTGTGTCCCTAACATAAGCATTATTTTGCATACAGTTTGCATGATGCCAATCTAGGTTGCCCATATTTTAGTCAAAAAAGAGGGCACTGAAGGCAGAAGGGTGGCATAGGGCAGACTGTCGACAGCAAATGTGAACATGAAAACAAAGCCAAATTCCAGACAATTTAGTAGTCATATATTTTAGGTCCCAAAAAGAGGATGTGTCCTCGAAAAAGAGGACATATGGTTACCTGATTGTTGGGGGTGAACATTTGGCTTGTTTGGCTACATTACCATAATAGCTGCAGTGCTAAAACCAAAGAAGCAGACTTAAGACACATAAAACAAAAAGTTTAGCTTTGCAATAGAAATTTTATTTGTTACTCTCAATGCTTAAAAAAACATTTGGCATAGTTCATTGGAAATTTTTATCAACCACATTTCATACACTGCTTTGGAGAAGTTTCAAAAATGGGATTATACACTTCACCCATGGCCACAATTAACACTAACAGGATCATATGACAAGGGTTCACATTATACAAAGATACAAGACAAGGATGCTCACTCTCCCCTCATTTGTTTGCACTTTTCATTGAACCACAGCTGGAGCAATACATCAGAATATAAATATAAAAAAATTCCAAACACCAAATACAAACATAAAATCACTCTATATACCTCAAATATCAGAAATGATTAAAACTGTTGAAAAACCATTCCAAAATCCCAGAATATTCTATCAGTTTGACTAATTACACTTTCAATTATGCATAAACACAGTGACCTAACAATTCAAACACTACCTCACTACACCTGCATCTCCCTCAACACTAATTATATCACATATTATTGCATCAGATCTCACCCCAGCTGAGTTACCCAGACTTAATTTCAGTCTCCTCCTCAAAAAAATAAGCGATGATGTTGGATAAACCTCCCCTCTCTCCCATCAGTGCAATAGCTGCAATTAACAAAAAAAGGTTGGAGCTGTTCTTGGCTGTCCACTATAGCTATGCTATTTCACTGTCTGAACTGAGGGCTGGGCCAAGTTAATAACATAAGCTAATTTTCCTAAACATATGAGCACGAAGGTTTTTATCATAATGTCATCTCTCTCTCTCTCAGACAAACATATTTGTCATTTCATGCTGCTTCTGTTTGGTTGCTTTTAGCCGTCATCACACTGCAAGACCTTTGACCAAATTTGTGACACTGACAGAACTTTATCATAGGCTGTCTTTACACATCTAAAAGTTTCTGAAGAAGTTTTTGGCTCCAAATATGTGGCTATAAAAAGAGCATGTGTATCTCAACATTGTAAATATCTTATTTGTGATACATGACTATAGAAAGATAGTTTTATCTTCCTGCTCATTCACAGGTGTCCTGATGCAGCCCACCATATCTTTATCTACTTTCATGAGAGTGTCCAGGGGTCTCCAAAGGTCAGAGGTGTTCAGGGGCCACAGCTTCACCATCACCTGCTCTACTCAGCCGCAGTACCCAGGAGGTTCCTTCCACCTCAAACTGCCCTGGAACAACAGCAGCCACACCCAGACAGCTGTCAATCACTCAGCCTCCTTCCTCTTTCCTGCTGCAGTTGATTCCCACCAGGGGAACTACAGCTGTGTCTATGAGAACGAAGTAAATTTTATGGAACATCAAGTTGAAGATTTTAGATGGGCTCGGTATATGTCAATCGTCACCCATAATCTCTCATCTGAGAGTGATCATCTCTTCGTCACTGTCAGTGGTAAACATGTCTTTTTGTCATTGTCTATGTTTATATGTAAATCTGTCTCAGATCTTAGCAAGGCCAGTCTGGGTGTTGCTTCAGTCACTTCCGATCCATATCTCGGTGTGTGTGGGTGTATGCCCAAGCCTCTTTACTGTGTACTACACCATCATCTGGGGATCTCTTTTAAATGTCTCTGAAATGGATAGAGACTGGTGACCTGTCTAGGGTGTTTCCTGCCTTCCACCCAATGACCGCTGGGATAGTCTCCAGCACCCCTTGTGACTCAGGAGGATAAGTGGCTTAGATAGTATATGTGTGTGTGTGTGTGTGTGTAAAATGGATAGAACAGCTTTGTGCTCACTTGGTTTTGTGGTCTTTGTTCCTGCCGTGTGTCTCACGTTTTTTTTTTGCTTGCTTTGAATTTTGCCCAGGTCTGTTGTCAGGTGGTCACTTAGTTGCCCAGATAACAAACTGCAATTGAAATAATGTTGATTCAATAATGCACAGCATTGCTGAATCAGCATAGATCTCTGATGTTGAATTAGCATTGCTCTTGCTTGTTGTATTGTTCATTGTATCAGTGTTGGAAAATCAACCGTGTGGTACATTGATGCAATGTTGATCCAGCAGCATTCACTTATGGTTGAATAGCTGTTGATCTAATGTCAAAACAATTGTGCATTGGTTCAATGTTGAAGGCACAGTACATTCAGTTCAGTATTTACCAAATATGACACTCCTTACTTGCATTTTTGGGCTTTTAGTCGACAATTCTGAGCAACTTACAAAAGGCAAGTGCAGCGGTTTGGCGACTACATGGCTGTGCTGCTTGGATATGGATTGAACCTCCAATCTTCTGTTCTTTTTTAAGCGACTCTCTCTTATGCTTATGAATTCAAAGTTATTGGTATGTATAAGTACAAAGTCAAAAGACATTATAGTGTGTAAATTTGAATTGGATATATGCAGTGGAAGTGCATTGATTTACAAAAAAACAAAAGTCTGAATACCCCCTGAATTGCCCCTCACTGTATCTGGTTGGCTGATAAACAACATGCACTGGTTGCATGGCTATAGCGTAAAATGTTGTTCCCCCTTGAAGCCCCCCCCCCCCCCTATTAACTGGCCATTAAATATCTGTCTCTAACTGCCACATCCATGCCATGTGAACATGTGGTGTCATAACCAGCTGATGTTATCAGTAAAAAAGACCTCACTGTGTTGAACTCGTCTCATTGACACAGTGAACCAAGTGATGTTATTGTAGTAATCTTTACTGTCCTATGGTTGGCTAATAGAGATGAGTGTGAAATGCATCTGAATCATTCTCAGCACTGCAGTAACTCTGACGTGGTGGTGGTGTGTTAGTGTGTGTTGTGCTGGTACGAGTGGATCAGACACAGCAGTGCTGCTGGAGTTTTTAAACACCTCAGTGTCACTGCTGGACTGAGAATAGTCCACCAACCAAAAATATCCAGCCAACAGCGTCCTGTGGGCAGCGTCCTGTGACCACTGATGAAGGACTAGAGGATGACCAACACAAACTGTGCAGCAGCAGATGAGCTATCGTCTCTGACTTTACATCTACAAGGTGGACTGACAAGGTAGGAGTGTCTAATAGAGTGGACAGGAGTCTGATCCACTCCACAGACACACTAACACACCACCACGTCAGTGCTACTGCAGTGCTGAGAATGATCGACCACCCAAATAGTACCTGCTCTGTGAGGGTCCATGGGGGCCCTGACCACTGAAGAACAGGGTAAAAGGGGGCTAACAAAGTATGCAGAGAAACAGATGGACTACAGTCTGTAACTGTAGAACTACAAAGTGCACCTATAGAGTAAGTGGAGCTGATAAAATGGACAATGAGCGTAGAAACAAGGAGGTGGTCAGAATGTTGTGCCTCATCGGTGTAGTACAGCACTCTCAATTTGCTTTACACATCATATTTCACCACATTACCATATTGATCTTCTCTCAGGCCTGAAATCCTGTCTTTGTGCATTTGTGTGTGTTTCAGATTCTCCACTGCCTGCAATCATCACCAGAATTCTGCTCGTGTCATTACTGACGTTGATAACCTACTTGTCTATCTTTCTGTTCTTCAAGAAGTGTGGCCATGTCTTCATTAGAAACACATCAGGTGAGTGACTGTGGCTCACATTACAAGCCAATTGTTTTGCTCAGACCCATTATTTCTTAGTTGATATGTGTTTCTTTGTTTATAGAGCATTTCTCATATCTGTAGCAACTCAAAGTGCTTCACACGGAGCTTAAATAATAAAAGCAAAGACATATGAGACATAATAGTAAATAACAATTATAATAAACAGTAGTACAACTAAATAAAATTGCATAGAAAATAAAGTGAAAAGATCAATAAGATGTGCATAATAAAGGGCTTATTCTAGCAGCAGATGCTGTGGTTTGAGGTGTGAGATGTGCACAGCTGAGTTGTATTTAGTCTTAGGCCTTAGTACACAGACTATCTGATGTAGACCACACGCCACAGCAGCTCTCAGAAACTCAGCTCTCTTAAAGAGTTAATGCCCACTCCAGTCCCTGCACTGTCTGACTGGAAACAGCCAAATGAGATACAACATCTCTTCTGCCAGGCAGTCCTGGAGCCGTATTACAGAAATGTCCTATTTTTTTTTATCTTACATGAAGATCTGACCGGTCAAGATACTATTTTTCCCAAATTTGCTTTACAGATTCGAAGCTTATCTTAAATTAGGAATCTTATCTTACAGCAGAGAACGTAAGATTTCAGAGTTAAGATTGTTGTTGGTCATTACTGTGGTGCATTGGTGTCTACAGGTCAGCAGGGGGCAGCAGCAGTTCAGTATGAGAGCATAGAGCTGGACTCCCTGCAGTCCAGAGCTGAAGAGCAGAAGAATGTGGAGAGAGGAGCTGGAGAAGAGCTGCTCACAGACTTGGAGCAGGAGAAAGAGGAGAAGCAGGACAGGAATTAGGTTCATAGTGAGTTCAGACCCAAAAACATGACTTGGCTAATTGACCACGTTTGGGGTGAGAGAGGAAACTGAGTGATTAGAATTTGCACAAAAAGATAATTTTAAAGGAATCTGTAAAATGTAATTTACACGATCCTCTGCTTATCCCTATTGCACTCCGTCAGCCAAGACATCCATGTTGTCCAAGCTTTGCTTCTTTAGTTTAAAACTGGATCTGCTAGGCTAAAGGTGCTAACACTGGAAGTGCATCAGCACAAATACATGGAAAGATCTTTAAGAAATCAGAATTTGGTCAAACAGCATAGACAGGCCTTATACACCGATCAGGCATAAAATCATGACCACCTCCTTGTTTCTACACTCACTGTCCATTTTATCAGCTCCACTTACTATATAGGTGCACTTTGTAGTTCTACAGTTACAGACTGTAGTCCATCTGTTTCTCTGCATACTTTGTTAGCCCCCTTTTACCCTGTTCTTCAGTGGTAGGGCCCCCATGGACCCTCACAGAGCAGGTACTATTTGGGTGGTAGATCATTCCCAGCACTGCAGTAACACTGACGTGGTGGTGGTGTGTTAGTGTGTGTTGTGCTGGTACGAGTGGATCAGACACAGCAGTGCTGCTGGAGTGTTTAAACACCTCAGTGTCACTGCTGGACTGAGAACAGTCCACCAACCAAAAATATCCAGCCAGCAGCGTCCTGTGGGCAGCATCCTGTGACCACTGATGAAGGACTAGAGGATGACCGACACAAACTGTGCAGCAGCAGATGAGCTATCGTCTCTGACTTTACATCTACAAGGTGGACTGACGAGGTAGGAGTGTCTAATAGAGTGGACAGAGAGTGGACACAGTGTTTAAAAACTCCAGCAGCACTGCTGTGTCTGATCCACTCGTACCAGCACAACACACACTAACACACCACCACCACGTCAGTGTTACTGCAGTGCTGAGAATGATCCACTATATAGTAAGTGGAGCTGATAAAATGGACAATGGTCATAATGTTATGCCTGATCGGTGTATAAACATCCTCGTTTAGGTATGTAAGTATTTTATGCAAATTGTTAGATTATGTCTTTACTCTTTTGATGTCATAGTGTGCTTCAATGGTATTGAATGATATTACTGAGATTACATATTGTGTATTCTTTACATATTGTGATCGGATGTTGTCTCATAATATGTTGGCTGTTGGTTGTACATTTGTAAAATTCTTTGTATAAAATAAAAAAAGTGCTGATTGGTTGGCGAGCTGATCAGCTCATTGGCTGAGTATAAATTGGTTTGTGATCATTGACGTCATGAACGTACATGAGGCAAAAGTCCTCTAACTGGAGTTAAAATGCGTTGAACTCACATAACAGCAGTGTTGAAAGTAGTAAACTACTCTGTGTTGAGAAGAACAAACAAAAACCTACAAATTACAGTTTTACACAGAAGCTCCATAGGAACTCACTTATTTCGGACTCTCGCATGAG